AACCTGTTCCTTTACTGTTGTTTTTCTCCTGATGTGGCTATGCAACAATTTAGGCTGAGTCTTTGCCTTGCTTCCGATGTCATTTTCGTATTGTCTTTCTGCCTCTCTTCTCATCCTGACATATTCATTCCTGGCATTCTGGTTTCTTGTGTGTGTGTGTGTGTGTGCGCGCGTGCGCGCGCCGCTCTGTGATGTGACAATCATCCTTTCCTACACCACACCCATGTAGGGGACCCCCCTCTACACCCCACCACACCCACAGGGGCCCCCATCTCCACCCCAACCACACCCACAGGGGCCCCCCTCTCCACCCCCACCACACCAACAGGGGCCCCCATCTCCACCCCAACCACACCCACAGGGGCCCCCCTCTCCACCCCACCACACCCACAGGGGCCCCCCCTCTCCACCCCCACCACACAAACAGGGGCCTCCCTCTCCACCCCACCCACCCACAGTGGCCCCCCTCTCCACCCCCACCACACCCGCAGGGGCCCCCTCTCCACCCCCCCCCCCCCTTTGAGGTGTGAAGAACTGAACAAAAGGTTCCAGGAGGTCTTTACAATAGAACAATGAGAGGTCACGGCGCTAGGAGAGGTGGCAGCAAACCGGGTGACCTTGGAAGGGTTCGAAATCACAAAAGATGAGGTCAAGAGGCACCTATTGGAGCTGGACGTGAGAAAGGCTGTTGGGCCGGACGGAATCTCACCATGGGTATTGAAAGAGTGTGCAGGAGCACTTTGTTTGCCACTCTCCATAGTGTATAGTAGGTCACTGGAAACGGGAGACCTACCAGAAATATGAAGCACCGAACTTGGATACCATGCAAGATGATGGAGACGATCGTGAGAAAAAACCTAGTAACAGATCTGGAGAGAAGGGACTTCGTGACAACCCATCAACATGGGTTCAGGGAGGGTAAATCTTGCCTTACGGGCTTAATAACGTTCTACGATAAGGTGACAAACATTAAGCAAGAGAAGAATGGTTGGACTCCATTTTTTTGCACTATCGGAAAGCCTTTGGCACCGTACCCTATAAAAGGCTGATGCATAAGCTGGAGAAACAGGCAGGAGTAACTGGTAGGGCGCTCCAGTGAATAAGGGAGTACCTAAGCAATAGGAAGCAGAGAGTTACAGTGAGGGGTGAGACCTCCGATTGGCGTGAAGTCACCAGTGGAGTCCCGCAGGGATCTGTACTCGGACCTATCCTGTTTCTGATATACGTAAATGATCTCCCAGAGGGTATAGACTCATTCCTCTCAATGTTTGCTGACGACGCCAAAATTATGAGAAGGATTAAACCCCTGAGGGGTATGAGCTCCACCCCACCACACCCACATACAAGATTCTCAGGGCGCCCCACTCCACCCCACAAATGTAATGCACACTCATGTTTCAAGGGCACCCCTCAAGAACTCCACCCCACCACACCCACACAATTAGGTAAGGGCGCCCCCCCTCTTCACCTCACCACACCCCTGGGGAGGACCCCCGGCCCCGCCCTCAACAAGTCCCTGGGCAAGACGGAAGAACTGATGTCTATTGTAATAGGTCGAGAGCGGAATTCCTTTACCGAAATTTTGTCCTAAAGGTGGAATTCCGAAATTAAATTCCGTCAGGAAGAGGATCGTTACGGTGTGTCGTGCTGGGAATCTTCACTCCTCCGTCAGCAGCGAGAGGTCTCGTCTCCGCCGTCAGGAGCGAGAGGTCTCGTCTCCGCCGTCAGGAGCGAGAGGTCTCGTCTCCTCCGTCAGGAGCGAGAGGTCTCGTCTCCTCCGTCAGGAGCGAGAGGTCTCGTCTCCTCCGTCAGGAGCGAGAGGTCTCGTCTCCGCCGTCAGGAGCGAGAGGTCTCGTCTCCGCCGTCAGGAGCGAGAGGTCTCGTCTCCGCCGTCAGGAGCGAGAGGTCTCGTCTCCGCCGTCAGGAGCGAGAGAGACGTGCACCCGCAGGAGATGAAGACACACTACCACGCCGCCCTGATCCTGGTGTCGTCAACCAGTCACGTGCCCAAGTAAGATCCACATTGATGAGCTGCCATTCATCTGTCCAACACAGGCGGTGACAGGAAATTAATAATCAATTATTGCTCGATCATTGTTATTTTTACACACAATAATTATTTAATTATCATATTTATTATTCACATTACCCACTTCAATTATTTTCTCATCATTGCTATGCATTCATTTTATTCCTATTTATTATCCTTATCATTGCCAATGGAATGAAAACTACCAACACCTTTGTCAATATAATATAGTTTGTCAATAGTTTATCTATTAATCTATCGTTTATTTTGTGTTAAAAATATGTTTTCTTGTTGGCCTGGTGACCGTCACAGTTCTAGCGAGACAATGGTTCTGTGCTTCAAGCAATACCTGTAATCATGCAGAAAACAATCATGCAACAGCAAAATTGAATCGCGCCGCAGTAGCCAACATTTTGAGTCCTACGAGGATGCGGGCAAGTGCCTCTCCTTAAACTGTTTAGACCAAACAAATAAAGAAAAGATCAGAATGCCTATTGACCCATACGAGGCTACTCCCCCAACCCAAATTCCTTCAATTGTGCAATAAATCCAATGGTCCTACCTGTAATATGTACGTCATTCTAACACTCAAGCACTCGTCGAATCTAAATAACTTTGTGAATGGCCCATTAGGCCTACGGAGAAGAACAAAAACTTAAAAGAGTCTGAAACAGTAAAAAAAATAAGAGAAGTCTTTTACGCCTGACTAATTTAAATATTTTTTTAACACAGTGACCCAATTCTGTCACAGCCGGTATAAAAGTATTCCTTAGACTTCGACATTTTTCTTAGTCATTTAAAAAAAAGAAAGTAAAGAAGTTGCTTCAAAGCCGACACTGGAAGAGGTCAAATAACATGCACTTGAATATTACATTTCCAAGCTCAGTTGTTTGTTATTTGTCACCACACAATAGTGATCTGAGACCTGAGGAGGGGGTGTCCAAGGCCTGACGGGGGAGGGGATCCAGGACTTGACGAGGGGGGACCAGGAGGGGGGGTCCAGGACTTGGCCAAGGGGGCCCAGGACTTGACCAGGACTTGGGGGGGCCCAGGACTTGACGAGGGGGGGGACCAGGACTTGAAGGGATCCAGGACTTGACGAGGGGGGACTTGACGAGGGGGACCAGGACTTGACGAGGGGAGGACCAGGACTTGGCGAGGGGGGGACTTGGGGGGACGAGGACTTGACGAGGGGGTCCAGGACTTGACGAGGGGGTCCAGGACTTGACGAGGGGGGGACTTGACCAGGACTTGACGAGGGGGTCCAGGACTTGACGAGGGGGGTCCAGGACTTGACGAGGGGGTCCAGGACTTGACAGGGGGTCCAGGACTTGGCGAGGGGGGTCCAGGACTAGGGGGTCCAGGACTTGACGAGGGGGAACCAGAACTTGGCGAGGGGGGTCCAGGACTTGGACGAGGGGGAACCAGAACTTGACGAGGGGGGTCCAGGACTTGGCGAGGGGGGACCAGGACTTGGCGAGGGGGGACCAGGACTTGGCGAGGGGGTGTCCAGGACTTGGGGAGGGGGGTCCAGGACTTGACGAGGGGTGTTCAGGACTTGACAAGGGGGGTCCAGGACGGACACAAAAGTGGCCACTTACATTTTATGTTTCAGAATTTGTCTAGATATTTGTTATTGTTGCGGCCATCGTGTGTAGACACTGGGTGAAGGTAACATTGTGAACACAGGCAGTGTCACACAGCTCTTGACTCTACCTCAACCAATGTAACACACCACCTCCCCGACCGTCCATAAGTGGTCGGGCACCATTCCTCCCCCCCCCCCTCCCCGTCCCATCCATAATCCTTATCCTGATCCCTTCTCAGTGCTATATAGTCGTAATTTCTTGATGCTTTCCCCTCGTAGTTCCCTTCCCTTCCCATACTGTCCGTCCGTCCGTTGGTCTTACGTCTCAGACCTACCTCCCTGCATGCGTCCGTCCATCCGTCTCACCAACTGTCCAGTCTTACCTTAATCTGTCCCTCTATCCCTACCTCCTTCCTTCCTTCCTTCCGTCCATCCATCCATCCATCCCTACCCCAACGCCCGGAAACAACGGCCGGTGATGAGCCCTGTTCGGTTACTTTTTCATTCGGACACGATGCCGGGTGGTGGAGCGCCCGAGGTGTTACCATAACAAGCTCAGTGTTGCATCTCTCCCCTCCCGAGGCGACGGGTGAAGCCTCGCCGGCTCTTGGCTTCACAAACTTTATTCCCAACAACTTACACAATTTACAATAATGGCTGACTCGAATCAAATATAGGTACGGATGCCCGTTGGGCGAGGTGGATGCGGGGGGGGGGGGATAGGGGTTAGAAACAGCTTTAGAAATAGGGGTAAGGATAGGAGGCAAGAAAGGAGGTAAGTAAGGGGATGATAGGGGTAAGAAACAGGAAGGTAAGGAAACTATCTGGAGAAAGCACTAAGCCATTACGACTATATAGCACTTGGAAGGGGTCAGGATAAGGATTTGGGATGGGACCGGGGGAGGGGGGGAGGGAAGGAAATGTGCCCATCCACTTGGACGGTCGGGGATTGAACGCCGACCTGTTGGAAGCGAGACCGTCGCTCTACCGTCCACCCCAAGTGGTTGGAGTTGGTTTAGTGGGAGACAAAATGACTGGACTAAACATAGGTGTACAGCAGTCTAAATCAAACTTACATACTTTTGGCATAAGGTAACATTTAGTTTACAATTTGAAGGGAAAAACAGTTTGCTTTATGACAGGTGTCAGAGTACCATTGGAGAGAAAACCTCGAAGACACATTGCTAAATAGACACTAACAACCTTAAAGATGGAACGCCAAAAATGTATATGTTAAAAGGAATATTATAACTCCCTATTATTTTTATTATTTCCTTTAGCTTTCTTACAGTTTTCTCAACATATACAGTGTACAGGTGTTTATTAGGGGAGGCAAGGTGTATAAAGGCGTCATATACACCTGAAGTCAGATCTATTACATTCTTATTTGTCCGGGAATAAAGAACTCTTGTTCAACGTTGAATATTTCTCTGAGAACATTACATATATTATGAGGCGTGAGGAATGGTCCATGACGTTAATTAACCCTTGGCGTGATTTCTATTTTTCGAATTTTACTCCAAAGTTCATCAAAGTGTTTTCCTTGAAAGGTTATCAGCAAACTTTTGTTCTCACAATATTATCTTTCTCCTCCTTGGTCCTCTTCATGACCTGATGAGATGGACCCCTGGTGTTACCTCTGATCTGGCGTGACCAGCCATCTCTGGGTTCTGTCGAAAGATTTTTTTGAAATCCGTAACGTGATCATTTGAACCAGGCATACCTCTTCATAATTTTGTTTGTTAAGAAGGATAATCTCTTTTCCCGTCCTAACTGGCACTGACATGACACGAGGAAAAACGTCATTGAATGTGTCCTGATGCAAATTACACTGAAGATTAATGCGGGCAACTCCATCAGTTAGAATGTGAACATCATCATGTTTCCTGTTAAGCAGGCATTTAAACTTATCCAAGTCTGCAACAGCGGTCTTATCCGAGTTCTTGTGACGTATCTGTTCTCACTGGCAGCAGCAGCAGCAACTTACAAGTGAGGTGTACTGAGGGTGTCTATGACAGGTTGTCACTGTCAGTGACAACCTGTCATTCACACACACATGTGACAGGTTAGATCAGCCGTCAATGAGAACATGATCACTCTGAGACCCTCCTCTCCCATCCCATGACAGAACCCTAAAGTTAATATTAATTTCATCAATGAAATCAGGATTATATAACTTGTCGGCATCTGTGAACGCAGTAAGCAGGGTTTATATGTGCGACTTGTCGAGAACAATTGGTGTTAGGTCAGCTGTCACCTTGAGGTCAGGTCACCTGTCACCTTGAGGTTAGGTCACCTGTCACCTTGAGGTTAGGTCACCTGTCACCTTGAGGTTAGGTCACCTGTCACCTTGAGGTTAGGTCACCTGTCACCTTGAGGTTAGGTCACCTGTCACCTTGAGGTTAGGTCACCTGTCACCTTGAGGTTAGGTCAGCTGTCACCTTGAGGTTAGGTCACCTGTCACCTTGAGGTTAGGTCACCTGTCACCTTGAGGTTAGGTCAGCTGTCACCTTGAGGTTAGGTCACCTGTCACCTTGAGGTTAGGTCACCTGTCACCTTGAGGTTAGGTCACCTGTCACCTTGAGGTTAGGTCACCTGTCACCTTGAGGTTAGGTCACCTGTCACCTTGAGGTTAGGTCACCTGTCACCTTGAGGTTAGGTCACCTGCCACCTTGAGGTTAGGTCACCTGTCACCTTGAGGTTAGGTCACCTGTCACCTTGAGGTTAGGTCACTAGCCACCTTGAGGTTAGGTCACCTGTCACCTTGAGGTTAGGTCACCTGTCACCTTGAGGTTAGGTCACCTGTCACCTTGAGGTTAGGTCACCTGTCACCTTGAGGTCAGGTCACCTGCCACCTTGAGGTCAGGTCACCTGCCACCTTGAGGTCAGGTCACCTGCCACCTTGAGGTCAGGTCACCTGTCATCTTGAGGTCAGGTCACCTGCCTCCGTGAGGTTAGGTTACCTTTCACCTTGAGGTTAGGTCACCTGTCACCTTGAGGTTAGGTCACCTGTCACCTTGAGGTTAGGTCACCTGTCACCTTGAGGTTAGGTCAGCTGTCACCTTGAGGTTAGGTCACCTGTCACCTTGAGGTTAGGTCAGCTGTCACCTTGAGGTTAGGTCACCTGTCACCTTGAGGTCAGGTCACCTGTCACCTTGAGGTTAGGTCACCTGTCACCTTGAGGTCAGGTCACCTGTCACCTTGAGGTTAGGTCACCTGTCACCTTGAGGTCAGGTCACCTGTCACCTTGAGGTTAGGTCACCTGTCACCTTGAGGTCAGGTCACCTGTCACCTTGAGGTTAGGTCACCTGTCACCTTGAGGTTAGGTCACCTGTCACCTTGAGGTCAGGTCACCTGTCACCTTGAGGTTAGGTCACCTGTCACCTTGAGGTTAGGTCACCTGTCACCTTGAGGTCAGGTCACCTGTCACCTTGAGGTTAGGTCAGGAGGTTAGGTCAGCTGTCACCTTGAGGTTAGGTCAGCTGTCACCTTGAGGTTAGGTCAGCTGTCACCTTGAGGTTAGGTCAGCTGTCACCTAGAGGTTAGGTCAGCTGTCACCTTGAGGTTAGGTCACCTGTCACCTTGAGGTTAGGTCACCTGTCACCTTGAGGTCAGGTCACCTTGTTAGGTCACCTTGAGGTTAGGTCACCTGTCACCTTGAGGTCAGGTCACCTTTCACCTTGAGGTTAGGTCACCTGTCACCTTGAGGTCAGGTCACCTTTCACCTTGAGGTTAGGTCACCTGTCACCTTGAGGTCAGGTCACCTTTCACCTTGAGGTTAGGTCACCTGTCACCTTGAGGTTAGGTCACCTGTCACCTTGAGGTCAGGTCACCTGTCACCTTGAGGTTAGGTCACCTGTCACCTTGAGGTCAGGTCACCTTTCACCTTGAGGTTAGGTCACCTGTCACTTTGAGGTTAGGTCACCTGTCACCTTGAGGTTAGGTCACCTGTCACCTTGAGGTCAGGTCACCTGTCACCTTGAGGTCAGGTCACCTGGTCAGGTCACCTGTCACCTTGAGGTCAGGTCACCTGTCACCTTGAGGTTAGGTCACCTGTCACCTTGAGGTTAGGTCACCTGTCACCTTGAGGTTAGGTCACCTGTCACCTTGAGGTCAGGTCACCTGTCACCTTGAGGTTAGGTCACCTGTCACCTTGAGGTCAGGTCACCTGCCACCTTGAGGTCAGGTCACCTGTCACCTTGAGGTCAGGTCACCTGTCACCTTGAGGTCAGGTCACCTGTCACCTTGAGGTCAGGTCACCTGTCACCTTGAGGTCAGGTCACCTGTCACCTTGAGGTCAGGTCACCTGTCACCTTGAGGTCAGGTCACCTGTCACCTTGAGGTCAGGTCACCTGTCACCTTGAGGTTAGCATCGTGCACATCTCCACCGGTGAGATACTTGTAGAAGACAAGTCCAGCAGTAACGCGCCCTGGTATGGCATAAACAACATACTTTACCCTGCATGTTGCTATGCCACGGGATGGCAGAACCGCCGTAGGGTCTTCCAGGACTTGACATGGAAGACCCACGTGCGACGCCCTGAATTCCGACATTTCAGGGCTGGCACTGTAACATGCCCCATCTACAAATTTAAAGAAGTTTTCAAATTCACGAAGTTTAAGCCAGTGTTCTTGCAGAACAAGAATATCACACATTAAAAATATTTTCAATATTTTCATACAATTGGGGTTTAAATGCATCATAGTTTTCGGCAATAACTAAAATTTTCAACAATCTTCTCAATTTTGGTTTTCCTATATTCGTATGGCCTTTAGTACCTTCAGGCCAACAACTGACACAGAACACAGTATGCATCTCTTTTTGGTTTACATAATCTTGTATGAAATATATCTATTTAAATTTGTATACATTTTATTTATAAAAAAAACACACTGTCTTCATTTGACTGAATGAAATTCTTAAGCCTGCAAGTCGCATGCCCCCGAGGCGAAACACACACACATACACTGGTAATGGCAGGTTTCCCAGGTATCAAACCACTAACATCTACAGTCTTTAACTCCTCAGTGATATATAACAAATTTAACTGACGTTTCCTCCGATTTCCATCCTGAGTCCAAGGACTGGAACAGACTCTGTATCAGTGAGGCCTTCCGATGCCCTGTGTCTCACGGTCATTCATTAGGGGCTTTGAGTGGGATGGGTATTGGCTAGAACGTGCGGTGGGAAGAGGAGGGGGGGGGTAAGGATGGATGGTTAGCAGCGGAAGAGAGAGAGAAACATGTTTTGTCGCATTTTCCCCTACTCACTAATTGCTCCACGTGCACTCGTTCTGTTTTGAGAGTCAATCCTAATAGAGTCATATATCAGTTTCCCTGGTAATGGCGAGTCAAGAGGTAGGGAGGCTACACACTGCCTGCTTAATCCCATCAACGGGAAGACCGTCAAGGCGGCGGAGACTGGCACTTGTGGAGGAGAGGATCAACTAGTCAAAGACCGTTAATGAAAGCTCTGGTGACGTATGATTATTCCCACATTTGGAAGGTGATAGGGAAGGTAATGGGGAAGGTGAAGGGAAGAAGGGAAGGTGAGGGTAAACGGAAAGGTAAGGTAAAGTTGAGGGGTAGGGGGGGGGGGGGAAGAAGTGAGGGGGAAATAATGGCTCGTCTTGGGTAAAAGGTTCATTCACCAACCATTCCTCTCCCCAATACGTCTTATGCCTTACGAAATCAACCAATCCGTTCAAAATACAACGTGTTAATGAACATTAAAGCATCCTAATATTCACGTTGTCCTTGCAGCGGCCGCGATAGGGGTAGGTGGGTTGGTTGGGTTAGCATGATTCTTGTTAAGAAGAACAGTTACATTTGTTCCGAAGCGGCAAATTGATAGAAGGAACTGCATTCACCCAGTGTAGCGACCACACGACATTCACCCCGTGTAGCTACCAGACGACATTCACCCCGTGTAGCGACCAGACGACACTCACCCCGTGTAGCGACCAGACGACATTCACCCCGTGTAGCGACCAGACGACATTCACCCCGTGTAGCGACCAGACGACATTCACCCCGTGTAGCGACCAGACGACATTCAACCCGTGTAGCGACCAGACGACATTCACCCCGTGTAGCGACCAGATGACATTCACACCGAGCAGCGACCAGACGACCAAATATCCCGATCAAATTTGCGCAGTGAAAGACACCGACGAAGCTGGAACGAGCGGCTCACGTCATGACGGATACGCTCCTCTGGAAACTGGAATGAGATTAACCATTTTCCTCTCCTGGAAGAGGCATTGGTTTAGAATCTGAAAGTTAGATGTTAGGTGTCCACGGGGAACAGGTGATCCTGAATCATGAACGAGCTGCTCAAGCTGTCTGGAATCTGGGAGCCCGTTATCTAACTCTTGTAAATACTTTGTGATTTAGAATTTTGAAGACTTTAGACGGATATTTGTTTTCTAATATCTAGTCTTTATTAAAAATTAAAACGAGTCCGTCTGAAAAATTCTTCTATTTTTGAGTGGAAAAGGAATTAAACTATGTCAAAGGTTTCTTTCAGATACGCCAAAGACTAAAGAGAAGGCTGGTCCTTGGAGAAAATAAGTTAGGTCATGTAACTGATAATGACACTGAAATAAGTAGCATTCTAAGTACTATGTTTCTGTACGTGCTAGAGAGGAACTTGATTACAACTGAGCCAATGTATGTAGGAAGTGAGGAAGGTCACATGAACTGTAGTCATTAATAAGGAGGAAGTAATTTCACATAGAGAAATGAAAGCCAAACCAATCCCCAGGCTCAGATGAAAAATTTGCCACGATCATACAAGAACTGAGTGAGACCTTGACATTCATATTTAATGACATTAAACTCTACGGAATCGCGGAAGGTTGTCAATGTTGGACCAGTCTTCAGGAAGGGGGAAAGTATCACTTCCATCGAATTATCGACCAATTAGCTAAACGTATATTCTGGAAAAACTGCTTGAATCCATAATCGGAAAAGATATTCACGTACAACTTGTGAAACACAGATTGATAAGGGAGTCTCAACATGGCTTTACAAAGGGCTGTGAAGGGAAATTAATGTTCCATGAATTTCCATTTATTATATTCCAGCATATATGAGGCAGTTGACAGTGGTACCAATTGTCACGTTGCGTACCTTGACTTCAGCGAAGGTTTGATACTGGGCCTCACGAGTGACTGGAAGAAACTCGTGGTACTGGAGAACTATGCTAAGTTGGATAAGGGCGCGATTATTTGAAAGCAAAACAAAAGAGTTGTATAAATGGATTTCAGTCACAATGGGAAATAGTTATAAGTGGAGTGCCACAAGGCCTTATCCTAGGACCCCTTATTGTTTACTGTACATATAAACGATTAAAGTTCAGGATTGAGCAGCAATATTTGCAGACAATACAAAAGTTAGGAAAGAAATAACTTTAGAAGGTTAAAAAATGTTGGTAAGTGCAGGGGTCCGAGACTAGGTAGTGACACACACACTCAAGCCAAAAATATGAAAAGAATAAGAACGTATAAAGTCCGTCCTGGAGAATTATCAAGATATCTAATCTTCAGCAACGTTATTGTGACTCATCATCTGCAATGATGATAGAGTTACCAGATATCTGCTGGATAGTGTTGAAATTGAAACATTGCAAATGCGAAAAAAAGATCTCATGATTAGCAAGAATTTAAGGCCAAAAACCAGCGCAAAAATGTTCGCAAAAAGGCAAATAACACACCGATTTACCTCAAGAAGCTGCGGGAAGAACTAAACCTTTCTTTAACGCTGAATATTTAGCTAAACCATTACATATCTAATCTGGCTTCAAAAAATAGACTAGTTCACCATGAAACAAATATATTATATATATATATATATATATATATATATATATATATATATATATATATATATATATATATATATATATATATATATATATATATATAATATTATTTAGCTAAAAAAGGACGTCGTTATGTTCGGTTCAGTCCCCAGTTGTGTGCTGTAGGTCACACAAAGGAGCGTATGACGTCAACCTCCTCCAGATGTCACCTTGAGGTTACCTTGAGGTGCTTCCGGGGCTTAGCGTCCCCGCGGCCCAGTCGTCGACCAGGCCTCCTGGTTGCCGGACTGATCAACCAGGCTGTTGGACGCGGCTGCTCGCAGCCTGACGTACGAGTCACAGCCTGGTTGATCAGGTATCCTTTGGAGGTGCTTATCCAGTTCTCTCTTGAACACTGTGAGGGGTCGGCTAGTTATGCCCCTTATGTGTAGTGGAAGCGTGTTGAACAGTCTCGGGCCTCTGATGTTGATAGAGTTCTCTCTCAGAGTACCAGTTGCACCTCTGTTTTTCAACGGGGGTATTCTGCACATCCTGCCATGGCTTCTGGTCTCATGTGATGTTATTTCTGTGTACAGGTTTGGGACCAGCCCCTCTAATATTTTCCACGTGTAAATTATTATGTACCTCTCCCGCCTGCGCTCAAGGGAGAGGCTCTCTCTCAAGGTTTTAGGCTCTTTAGTCGGTCCCAATAGTTTAGATGTTTTACTGAGTGGATTCTAGCAGTAAAGGATCTCTGCACGCTCTCTAGGTCAGTAATTTCTCCAGCTTTGAAAGGTGCTGTCATTGTGCAGCAGTACTCCACTCTAGAGAGCACAAGTGTTTTGAAAAGTATCATCATCGGTATAGCATCTCTAGTGTGAAAAGTTCTTGTTATCCAACCTGTCATTTTTCTTGCAGTTGTGACGGCTACTTTATTGTGTTCTTTAAAGGTAAGGTCTTCCGACATGAGTACACCCAGATCCTTTACATTGCCTTTTCGTTCTATGTTATGATTTGCCTGAGTTTTGTACGTGGTTTCCGTTTTTATATTTTCATTTTTTCCATAGCGCATGAGCTGGAACTTATCTTCGTTAAACACCATATTATTTTCTGTAGCCCATAGAAAGACCTGATCTACATCTGACTGGAGGTTCGCCGTGTCCTCTATGTTGCCTACTCTCATGAAGATCCTAGTGTCATCTGCAAAGGATGATACAGTGCTATCTTAAGCCATTCTCGTCACATTCTCTCTTAAGATTGCTTAAGAACTACTTCGTTATTATGACTGATACATAATGACTATCTCCCGCCGATATAAACTGGTTATTACAAGCTCCTCCAATACGAGGCTCGCGTATATACACTTTTTTAACATGAACCATATTAACCAAAAATAACGAACCATATTAACCGAAAATAGTGAACCATATTAACACATAATAATGTACCATAACATAATAGCAGAAAATAACGGAGTTGCTCTATTATTTTCTTACGTATTTATGCATGAAACTATCAAGTTATGCACATCTTTCAGCATGATAAATTTTAACAAATTAGTAGAACAAGATAAGAGTAAAGAGGGGTCGAAATATTTACCCAGTTCCACCTTACAATGTTAGTTTTTTCTCCAATATTTACACAGCAAGGTATCCATTATATATGCTACCATCGTGCCATTCACGGAGGGACTCTTAAAGACGCTGGGGCAATATCCAAGCCACTTCAGACTCGTACACGCCTCGCAAAATAGAAATCTTCATTTTGCTTCAGAAATTAAATAAAAATGAGTCTCGGGTAAATCTCATTCTCCGAAAATTGCTGCAAGATTATCATGGGAGAGAGAGAGAGAGAGAGAGAGAGAGAGAGAGAGAGAGAGAGAGAGAGAGAGAGAGAGAGAGAGAGAGAGAGAGAGAGAGACTCAGCCAAATTGTCAGATTACAGGATTGAATTTCTAAGGGGCAGGATCGACCCGTCAGCCGGGCGAGGACTTCATGATCAACATCTTAGACCTACTAAGACGTTTCTCCGTCTGAGATCCTCTCAGACGCGTACAATCTCTCTCTCTTAAGTGTCTAGAACAAAAAGAGAACATCGCCTAGGAACATAGTTCAAAGTGCGCCTGCGCCAACCACACCCCAATTCACAAATAACTTTCCAGGTGAATATAACAGACCCAGGTGAGTAACAGACCCAGGCGAGTAACAGACCCAGGTGAGTAACAGACCCAGGTGAGTAACAGACCCAGGCGAGTAACAGACCCAGGTGAGTAACAGACCCAGGTGAGTAACAGACCCACGTGAGTAACAGACCCACGTGAGTAACAGACCCAGGCGAGTAACAGACCCAAGTAACAGACCCAAGTGAGTAACAGACCCAGGTGAGTAACAGACCCAGGCGAGTAACAGACCCAAGTGAGTAACAGACCCAAGTGAGTAACAGACCCAAGTGAGTAACAGACCCAAGTGAGTAACAGACCAAGGTGAGTAGCAGACTCAAGTGAGTAACAGACCCAGGCGAGTAACAGACCCAAGCAAGTAACAGACCCAAGCGAGTAATAGACCCAGGCGAGTAACAGACCCAAGCGAGTTACAGACCCAAGCGAGTAACAGACCCAAGCGAGTATCAGACCCAAGTGAGTAACAGACCCAAGTGAGTAAGAGACCCAAGTGAGTAGCAGACTCAAATGAGTAACAGACCCAGGTGAGTAACAAACCCAAGTGAGTAACAGGTCGAAGGACCCAGTAACAGGTCGAAGGCCCCATAATACACACATTATACCACACTTGTGTGATGAGTGGCACAAGGTGGCACTGAGAGCCACATCATGTCCGTGTTTCAGGTCGTCGGGAAGCGACACTGCGGCACTACGAGGCGGCCCTGAGGCTGGACCCGGAGCACACCGTGGCCCTGGTCAACACCGCCACACTCATGCTCACTCTACACAACAACAATCAGGCCGAGATGCTTTACAAGAGGTACGCCCGCACGCCCTTCTCATCCCTTTCTTTATTTCAGTATTACTTTTAGTGAGCTATAGTAGGTCTAAAATAAATATATATTCTATATATATATATAATATATATATATATATATATATATATATATATATATATATATATATATATATATATATATATATATATATATATATATATATATATATATATATAGGGGGGTACCACCACTGGTGCAATTATAGGGACCCACAGCCTCAGAGAAGGGAACACAGAGCACTCAGGGAAAAACTTGCCATTTAACTCTGAATACGAAAGAGTGTTCACTTCTCCTACCACCCCCTTTTATATATATATATATATATATATATATATATATATATATATATATATATATATATATATATATATATATATATATATATATATATATATGTCGTACCTAGTAGCCAGAACGCACTTCTCAGCCTACTATGCAAGGCCCAATTTGCCTAATAAGCCAAGTTTTCAGGAATTAATTGTATTTCGACTACCTAACCTAACGTAACCTAACTTTTTCGGCTACCTAACCTAACCTAACCTATAAAGATAGGTTAGGTTAGGTTAGGTAGGGTTGGTTAGGTTCGGTCATATATCTACGTTAATTTTATCTCCAATAAAAAAAATGACCTCATACATAATGAAATGGGTAGCTTTATCATTTCATAAGAAAAAAATTAGAGAAAATATGTTAATTCAGGAAAACTTGGCTTATTAGGCAAATTGGGCCTTGCATAGTAGGCTGAAAAGTGCGTTCTGGCTACTAGGTACGACATATATATATATATATATATATATATATATATATATATATATATATATATATATATATATATATATATATATATATATATATATTTTGGTAGCAGTCTTTCCTGTAGACATATATTATTAAATATGACCGAAAAAGTAAGATTAATAATTCTAACACGAATTTTCTCAATCTTTCGTACATTACGCTTCACTGTTGGAGGTAAATCAAAAATCACTTCTCCAAAATTCATTTTTATTTTTAGTCTGACGCGACACGGGCGCGTTTCGTAAAACTTATTACATTTTCAAAGACTTCACAAATACACAACTGATTAGAACTTGCGTTTCCCTGATTTTATATCTACATTTGAGTGAGGTGGGAAGGGTGATGTGGCATTACATTTGAGTGAGGTGGGAAGGGTGATTAAACAGAACGCTTTAAAAGAGACTAACGTCGTCTATGCCTTCAAATGCCCACTTGGGGACTGTAAGCTCCAAAAAACCCAGTATATAGGCAAGACAACAACATCTCTTTCTAGGCGTTTAACGATGCATAAACTACAGGGCTCCATTAAGGAACATATAATCTCTTCCCATAACCAAACCATCGCCAGAGAAATCCTAGTAAACAACACAGAAATCATCGATAGATACAGCGATAGCAGACGGCTTGACGTTTGCGAGGCACTACACATCAAGAAGTCAACACCAGCAATCAACAGCCAATTATTGCACAACTATATTCTACCCACCTCAAGACTCCGCTCCAATATAGAAGCATCAAGAAATATGGACCAATAGGCTTTCTACAAACACTTCTATTCAATACCCATTGTTTCTGTTCTGTCTTGTGTTGATACTTTTAATACCCTATTAATATCCCCTAGTGTTCTGTCTTGTGTTAATGCCACATCACCCTTCCCACCTCACTCAAATGTAATGCCACATCACCCTTCCCACCTCACTCAAATGTAGATATAAAATCAGGGAAACGCAAGTTCTAATCAGTTGTGTATTTGTGAAGTCTTTGAAAATGTAATAAGTTTTACGAAACGCACCCGTGTCGCGTCAGACTAAAAATAAAAATGAATTTTGGAGAAGTGATTTTTTATTTACTTCCAACAGTGAAGCGTAATGTACGAAAGATTGAGAAAATTCGTGTTAGAATTATTAATCTTACTTTTTCGGTCATATTTAATAATATATATATATATATATATATATATATATATATATATATATATATATATATATATATATATATATATTGGAAATCCTGTTGGACGACATATTCGACCTCGAGACACAAAAGAAGGTCACTACCAAAGATACCTTACAAGCAGAACTTATTGCGGAAGGAGGAAAGAATCGAGGCAATTACAGAAGCACCATACTGTCCCCCGAGCTCAAAGCGGCAGCTAAAAGCCTTCGTGAGAACAAGGAGATAGTTGTCAGGAGAGGCGACAAGTCGCCAATATACGTCATTCTTAAAAAAGACGAATGTCTGGAGAAAATAAACCTCATACTCTCTGACCAAACTAAATTCCAAAGGGTAACGAAGGACACTACAGCCGAATTGAAAGCAAAGGTCAACAAACTGATCGAAACTGTGAACGCCAAGAAATCCGGACTCCACCTGCCAAAGATTATTGGGGAATATAAACCTGGATATGCGTATGGAAATGTCAAGACACACAAGCCTGGAAACCCACTTCGGCCAATCATTAGCCAGATACCCACACCCACGTACAGACTAGCGAAGCGACTTAACGGCCTGCTGACTCCTTATGTCCCTTGCGCCTTCAGCCTGAAGTCTCCAAAGGAATTTGTTGACTTACTGCGGGGCACACGGGCCACAGGGATAAGAGCCTCGTTGGACGTAGAATCACTGTTCACCAACGTACCTGTGGACGAGACAATCGGGATGATAGCCGACAGAGTGTATCGTGATCCAGCCTGTACTCCTCTTGACATACCAGAAAATATTCTAAGGAAACTACTCCAAGCTTGTACTAAAGAGGCACCCTTCTTGAGCCCGGATGGGCTCAAGAAGGGGTGCCTCTACATCTAAGCAAGTAGATGGGGTCGCCATGGGTTCTCCCCTAGGTGTCCTGTTTGCAAACTTCTACATGGGTACCATCGAGCAAAAAGTCTTAGTCGACATGAACTTGAAACCGGCCATATACTGCAGGTATGTTGACGACATTTTTACACAGGTACCTGATGTCAGACATCTGCTGGAGCTGAAGGAGGCGTTTGAGCAGAGTTCCGTGCTGCGTTTCACTTACGAGATGGAAAAGGATGGGAAGCTGCCCTTTCTAGATGTAACAGTCATGGAAAAGAGCGGAGGTTTCCACACTGCAGTCTACACTAAGGAAACGAACATAGGAATGTGCCTAAATGCCAACAGCGACTGCCCAGACAGGTACAAGAGGAGTGTTGTTAACGCATACGTCGACCGTGCTCTCAGCCACAGCTCAGAATGGAAGCAAGTCGACGAAGAACTCTGTAGGGTAAGGCAGGTCCTAGTCAACAACGGCTTCTCCAATGGTTTCGTCGAAGACATCATAAGAAGGAAAGTGAAACGCCATGCAACCTCTGAAGAGACAACTAACACAACACCTATACCCCCTATTAGACTATTTTACAGGAACTTCTTTTCCACAGCTCATAAAACGGAGGAAAGGGTCCTGAAAGATATTGTTAATAGAAACGTTATCCCTACAGACAAAAATCAGAGGATACAACTGACGATTTACTATAAAACCAGAAAAACGGCCAGCCTACTCATGAGAAACTCTCCAGACACAAAGCAGAACGCTTTAAAAGAGACCAACGTCGTCTATGCCTTCAAATGCCCTCTTGGGGACTGTAAGCTCCAAAAAACCCAGTATATAGGCAAGACAACAACATCTCTTTCTAGGCGTTTAACGATGCATAAGCAACAGGGCTCCATTAAGGAACATATAATCTCTTCCCACAACCAAACCATCGCCAGAGAAATCCTAGTAAACAACACAGAAATCATCGATAGATACAGCGATAACAGGCGGCTTGACGTTTGCGAGGCACTACACATTTAAAAAGTCAAAACCAGCAATCAACAGCCAATTAACGCACAACTATATTCTACCCACCTCAAGACTCCGCTCCAATATAGAAGCATCAAGAAATATGGACCAATAGGCTTTCTACAATCACTTCCATTCAATACCCATTGTTTCGTGTTCTGTCTTATGTTGATGAAATTAATACCCTATTAATACCACCTCACCCCATCCACCTCACTCAAATGTTGATATAAACAAATCGGAGATGTGTAAGTTCTATTCAGTTGTGTATGTGGAAACTAAAGTCTTTGAAAATGTAATAAGTTTTACGAAACGCGCTCAAGTGTCGCGTCAGACTAGAAATAAAAATGAATTTTGGAGAATTGATTTTTGAATTACCACCAACAGTGAAAAGAAATGTACGAAAGATCGAGAAAATTCGTGTTAGAATCATTAATCTTACTTTTTCGGTCATATTTAATAATATATGTCTACAGGAAAGACTGCTACCAAAATATACTAATATATATATATATGAATCAATACATTAAAACGAGAAATTAAGAAAAAAATCCCAACCCACACATATGATACGAACACTTATTCGTTTATTCGTCTCCAAGACACTTCAAAACATAGTCGCTTCATACGTGCAGGTTGGGTTAATATTTTGACTAATATTTTTTTTACCTTCTTATAATTACTTCATTAATTATTAATAATTATTAATATTTAATAATTAATAATCATTAATTATTAACTATTAATAATTACCTTCAAGCAATTAACAAATCATTTCTCTTTTCAATTTATGCCGGGGGCCACGCCAGGGAAACTTGCTTAGCCTGAAAACACGTCTCCACATTAAGGACCTCAGTTCCTTACGTAACACTGAACACAAACTTACATGGAAGCCATTCTTGAACAGTGAACATTGTGTTTAGAAAATGATACATCCCATCAGAAGGAAGAGAAGGAAATGCAGGCTATAGGTAAGGGAGGGAGATACAGACTGTAGGGAAGGGAGGTAGGGAGATACAGACTGTAGGGAAGGGAGGTAGGGAGATACAGACTGTAGGGAAGGGAGGTAGGGAGATACAGACTGTAGGGAAAGGAGAAAGGGAGATACAAACTATTGGGACAGGGTCAAGTTCTTTCCTATTCACTGTTCCATTTAAATGTTAGGGAGATGACCCTGCCTCTCATGTCTGTCCCCCATCCTGGAAAGACATGTCTGTCTCCGCCTCTTCTCCCTCAATCTCTCTCAATCGTTCACAGAGAAACAGACTTACCTCCAACCCGCAGTCAATCAGACAACACGTTCAAAGTCCGCATACCTTCATCTCACAACCATAATCGCCAAAGAATAACTAGCAGAGCAGCGACTGCTGATCTCCACAATACCACCACTACTACTACCACCTCCCACACTACCAGTCTCTACCTTTCTCTCACCCCTGGATGATGATTTATGATGGTGGGGCCTTGTACAGGGCGCTGGCGGTGGCCTGGGAGGCGGAGATCGGGGAGAGCCTAGGGAAGCTGTATCTCAACACTGGTCGCCTGGAGGAGGCGGAATCTACCTTCACCAGTGTCCTCACCCGCCATCCCCACATGCTCTCCTCCACCGTGTACCTGGTGAGTTAACCCGTCTTCTGCTTCACCCACTGGTGTGTTGTTTAGATTTGTATTTACTATTTGTGCCTGCAGAATCGAGCTATTAGGTCTTGAACCCCGCTTTTCTAACCAATATATTTTCCTCTATTATGTCTATTACATATATTTCTCTCTTACACATTCACACACACACACACACACACAGAGGAAGCGGCCCGTAGCAGCTGTCTAATTGCCAGGTACTTATTTACCGCTAATGGAACGGGGGCACCAGGGTGAAAGAAACTCTGCCCATCTGTTTACGCCTAGGCCGGGGGAAAAAATGTGCGTGCGTGTGCGCGCGCGTGTGTGTGTGTGTGTGCGCGCGCGTGTGTGTGTATGCGCGCGCGTGTGTGTGTGTGTGTGCGCGCGTGCGTGTGTGTGTCTCTTTGTCTCTGCTTCTCTCTTTCATTTTCGTGTCCACTCTCACGTGATAGCATATTCGTGTTACGCTTAACCTTAGTGAATTCTTTAGACGTCATATTTGGTCAAAATGAAAGCAATTCCCACCAAGCATGACTCACAACGACCGTGTAATTCCAGCGAGCGTGAGCCCGCCGCGAGCGTGACCCCGCCGGGAGCGTCAGCCCGCCGCGAGCGTGACCCCGCCGGGAGCGTCAGCCCGCCGCGAGCCTGAGCCCGCCGCGAGCGTGACCCCGCCGGGTGTGGGAACCGACCTGTGAGATTTATATTTATTTAAATTATATGAATTTATATTTACGTTAATTCGTATACTTCGATAGCAATTTGTATAATGATAAGTGGACTGTATTTCTGCAATAATCTCGTAATCTCACAAATCGATCCTCTACACATTAGGGGGGTTTATATAAATTTAATTTATATATATGCAGCCTATCAAACTACAGTATTAGACTACATACATTGAAAGGGTTCCTTATCTTATTGTACAGCAGGTTAGTCCACCAGGTATAACTAGGGTGTAGACTCCACATTTTCCCTCTTTGAGGTAGCTTCCATCACCCTGGTAACTGATGCACAAAAGATACTTCCTCGTCTTGGCCTGTCAAAAGGGCGCTAGCTGTAAAGCCAGATACCTATATATGACAGGTATATCAGAGAAAATACTGTACATGGAACAATAAAGACCTGGCTTAATTACCTTTAGTTTGAGGCTATCTCGTGCTCTAACCGGCTAACCCTACCCAATGACATTAATGGCCACTAATGATAGATAATGGGTTTCGGAAAGAACACTTAACTTGATTTGTTGACAGCGTGTTGATAATGGTACACCTTTGGTTTCCATAACACTACGTCCAAGTAAAATTAACAGGAGCCGTATTTGCTCCCGTGTGCCTCTGGTCTAGTATAAACAATGGCAATGTCTAACACTCCATACTATTGACGCTACTGGCCGACATTGTCCAGATATAATAGGAGCCGAATTTGCTCCACGCGTCTCGGAGGTGACAATAACAATGGCTGCCCCTCCTTCCTCACTGACGCCTGGCCTACATTGTCCAGATGTCAATAAGTGATAGAAGGGTCACATTTACTCTACTTTAATATTGATAATTAAGTTAATTTATATGAGATGTTTTATGATGGTAAAGTCCAAAGACTAATGTATTTAAGAATAATTCCCACCATAATAGGTGGTGAATTATAATAGTATGTGGTGATGATATCCCGTTTTCTATAGACGGTAATTCCACTACAAGTTACGTTTTCTATGGTTAACTTGTGTATACAATGGCAGCAATATTATCTGCCTGTATGTTATATTAAATGCTGTCGGATTTTCCGACATAATTCCCCAGGGGCTGCTCACGGGTCGAAGTCCTCTTTAGAACAGACGAACACCGATACTCCTCTTTCGAACTATTAGATTAATTTGATGTTAGTAGTTAGTAATCACACATTTGTGTGTCTGTTCGTACAGGACGGATGTCCCGTACTAGAGTTGCAGGGGTTAGAAGTCTAATGCGATTTCATTTACCTGTCAACTCTTGAAAGGCTAATATTCAAGCCTAATTACATATTATTTAACCCAGAAGACTGAATGTGATCAAGTACTACAGTCAAGTATGATTCAGGGACTGCAGTGAGATCAGTGACATTAGATATAACTTGAAGTTTCTTCAGGTAACTAGTCACTGATATATAAACACTGAGGCCCATGGAATACATCTTGATTAAATAATAAATGTATCAAATCAGTCATCAGATTTATTGGGGTTTAATTTAGTTAATTGATTCAGAAGATTGAATAGCTCATCATTAAAGTAAAGTATGGTTCTGAGACTGCAGTGGGTTCAGTGACATTGGTCGCAGTGACTTGTAGCTGTTTTAGGCTACTGTTCACTGATTTGCCACTGAGGCCTCATGAACTCATCTTCAGCTTTAAATGATGATACTAACATCAACCTCTGTTGGTATAGTCAGCTGTAATCTCCTTAGTATAATGCTACTGGAGAAATATAATCAGCTGACAAATTTAGATTTCTATTGGTATTGTTTATCTGCAGGCATAGGTCTCCTCAGGCTTGATACTGGGCCTGAGAGTAATTTACCTCCTGCAGAGTTTAACATGGTTATACCCTGATATTTAGTAGGGCTACCGATGAATCGATGACAATAGTCTGTCCCTACAAGGAGACCGAAGTCGGTGAGGTGATCAGACTTAATATTATCTGCCAATTTTATTCCTCTATTTCTCAGGAATTTGGCTGTTGCTCTCAGACCTTGAACTTGTAGGTCTACTGGTATTTTGTCCACCACAATGGCTTGTACTCGACAGACGTACCTGCCTAAACGTACTGATGGTTGTACCACCTGGTAGACTTGAGGTCCTGCATCTGTTACAAACCCTGAGATGTTGAATGACATCTGGGCTACAGGCCTTAATTGTAATTCATCTGCCAGCTTTTTAGTGATATATGTTCTCTGGGATCCTTGGTCAAACAACCCACGGGTATGGACCTTGGCCCTCTTATTCAGGATGGTAATTTGGGCAGTAGGCAAAGTCGTATTACCTTTAGACTTTGCCGATTGGACACTCTTTGTTGGTTGCACCTTGCAGTACTGTACTGTGGTGGGAATGCTATCTTCCACCTTGGGGTTTGGAGACGTTGTTTTGGTGTCTCTGCACAATGCTGCATGGTGCTGACCTTTGTTACACCTATTACAGGTGTGTAATTGGGTATCACAGTCGTTGATGTTATGTTTCCTGAGGCACCTCGTGCAATGTTGCAAATCTTTGAGTCGCTCAACACGGGCGTCACTATCAGGAAAATTAGGGCAGTGGTACATTGAATGTTTCTCATTGCAGAACAAACATGTTCCATAGCTTCCAGTACCCTTTGGTGTCACGTTCTTGGATGACACAGTAACTATAGGCTTGGAGGGTCCCACTGCATATACGCCCACACTGCCACTGTTCCACTTTGGTGTTGAATTATATTGTCTAGATTGATTTGGAGTACCTTTGGTACTCTGTGGTTTACTATTATTGGTTTCTGAGGGTTTACTTGGTGGTTTTAATTTGTCATGTGTTCGTAATTGATGAACTACTGACTTTAAACCTTCAGATATTTCATTCATGGATAAGATGCTTTTATTGTAATGAGCACTCATTTGTCTCAATACGTCCCTAGGTATTTTCTCCTGGACAATTATTTTCAAGACCCACTCAGCCCCGTTTGTATCTGCTGTCAGGCTGAGGGCATTGATCAATGATTCTACCTCCAGCTTGAAGACTTGGAGTGAATCAGCTGAAGCCTCCGGTGGGGGTAAATGCAACAGCTCATGAACTAAATGTGATGTTCTTACTTCTGGATCAGCATAATTATCCTTGAGGAGTTTTACTGCCAGATCATAGCCGTCATTAGTTAATCTCAGATGGGATACTACTGTTTAGCCTCACCTGATAATTGGCCTTGCAAATAAGAGAATTTACTACTCTTTGGTAAAGATTGTTTTGAGTCTACAAGGTCAACGAATTTGTTCCAAAATTCGTCCCAATCTTCCTCATCTTTTCCTGAGAAAGTGGGTAAATTAATTGGAGGGAGTCGAGCTTCTGCTTGACTCGTATTAGATGCAACTGTTGTTGTTGTTGCTGTTGCCTTGTTCTGGGCAATTAATTTGACATAAGGCTGTAACGTGGCCTGAGTGTGATCTTCATAATTCGCAAGATCAACCATAATGTCGTCTATTTCTGTTTCTGATAAATTGGTGTTGGCAAGTTCAGCCACATATGTTGCTATTTGGCATTTGATTTGCTCAAATTTACCTGCAGCTGCTTGATAATAGCTTTCCAGGTCAGCATAATCAACTTGAGATTGTTGTGACAAATCTTCACATTTCTTGATCTGTCTTGTTAAGTGGCCTTTAAGACCTGCAAGGGTTCTTTTCATTCTCCCTGCATTATCCATACTGGCTAGTTGGTGAAGCCTTGTGGGGCTTGTACTTGGGCTGCTCATAATACTGAACAAGCTCTAATGGTAGCCTAGGGTAAATTCTGCACTCACTAGGCAATAATCCTACCTCTACTAGAGGTTAGCACTTAAAATTAATACACATTATATATATACAATCATACACACTAATGATTTGAGTGATAAACCAGTGTCACTGGAAGTACCTTTAGGTTAGCTCTTCTATATCACCCTAGGATGGTAGAGACACTAATTAATCACTCAAAGGTGTAATGATCATAAGTAAATTATTATATATACAACTCAACTCGAGTTGATAAAAATTACACCCAAAATAGGGTCTGGACCATTCATTAATGGTGTTAGGTTATTCAATATAGTACAACTGACTATGGTAATAATGGGACTAGGATGAACAATAATAGTTCAACTAGTCATATCCTACCCTGTTGTGGGTTGGCAATTAGTAAATATTATACTGTGATCACTAGTGCAATTTATATTAAATAATTCTCTATTTTAGAGAAATAATATATACAATTATTGATAATAGCCTCTTAATTAGCCTCTATGAAACTTCTA